CCGTCCAGGACCGGCTCAAGCCGCCCTGCAGGAGGCCTCCCTCCCCCGCGCCCCCTCCTCTCCCCAGTGCGCCCTGGCAACACCCCCCCCCCCCGCTCGGCCTGCTCGCACAGTCGCCATGGGAACCAGATTCTTCAGGGCTGGGAACAGATGCGCCTTCTTTGGCCTTTTCGCTCCCACTAGCGCTGGGTGGAGGGGAGCAGCTACCTCCGGAGTCGTGACTTGGTAGTCGCTGAGCTCAGTGCCTCCGCCCCCTTCCAGCATCCTGATACCACTCGCCGTAGAACCAGTCTCCCGGGACTACGGCAGCCCCCTCCTGTCCCCTGGCAGGGCCCCTGAGGGCTCACGGTAGTGCGCTGACATCTTCAGTGTCCCTCTTCCCCCAGGAGTGCTTCCCCTTTTCTGGGCAGGGTTCCCGGACAGTTGCGACCTTGCTGGGCCGGCCCCACCGGCTGGGGAGGTGGTGGATAGCATACACCTCCCCCGTTTTAAACACGGGGAAACGGACGTCCCGGCGTGGATCTAAGCGGGGTGGGGGCTGCCTCGGGGCTCTCCTCCACCTCTCCGTGAGTCACTGCCCCCTGTGGACTCCTCCTCCCTCTCCCTGGGAGCTAGGAGGGGGAGGGGACAGAGGAGCTGGTCTGAGCAGGCCCTGCCCCCCCCAGGCCCCTCCTCCTAGCCTCACAATGCAGCCCACGCCCACCATGGCCCCTGCCGCCAGCACCACGGCCACGGTTGCCCTGACCTCGAGGTGGGACAACGCCACCGGCAGCCCCACCGTGAGTGAGGGGGATGGAGTGGGTGGCTGGGCCGGGCGGGCCTCCAGAGGCCACGCCCCGCGGTCCTGACCCCTGCTGGCCCACAGGCGGAGCCTGACCCCATCCTGGACAACTACGCGCTGCTGGTGGTGGTCATGTCGCTCTTCGTCGGTGGTGCGCTAGTGGTTCTGTCCGGCGTGCTGCTGCTGTGCAGGCGCTGCTGGGAGGCCCACCGGCGCTTCAACAGGTGCGCAGCCCGCCCGTCCCAGCGGCCTCCCCCGGGCCCGTGCGCGCCTGGAGCCGGGTGACCGTGCACGCGCGTGCGCGCTGTTAGCAGGCGTGTATGTCAGCCTGTATGGTGTTGGGGGCCTGCTTCTAAGTGCCTGGGGAGCACAGTGTGCTACTGGGGCCTAGCCCGATGAGCTCGGGTCCCGGCAGGTGGGCCCTCCGTCCCACCTTGCTGCCCTGCGGTCCCTCCCCAGAGCGACGGAGGAAGCAGAGAAGACCACCACCACCTACCTGGACAATGGTGCTCACCCGGCCCAAGGTGCGGCGCCCCGCCAGGCCCGCCCCCAGCCCGTCTGCCCGCCCTCCCGCCCGCCCCCTCGGGCCGCCTGACCGGCTGTGTCTGTCTGTCTCCCCCACCAGACTGGGCGCAGCTCGATTCCGACTCATCTCTGTTTCCTTAGAGCCCGCGCGTAGGTGCTCACAGGCGCGTGCTGAGCGAGTGAGTGTGTGAGCGGATGTGTGAGTGCCCACCCTGCCCCCTGCCCGGTCCCAGCCCTCAGTCGGGCCCCACCCTTCGCCCCCTCCCCGACCCACCCCAGCCGGCCGCCCGCCCAGCGCCTGCCCAGCGCCAGGCGCGGCGCGCCCGGGGCCCACCCTCTCCGCTCTCCTCGCAGACCCCGACTTCAGGGGGGAGGACCCTGACGGCCAGGATGCAGAGACGGAGCGCTTCCTGTCCACCAGCTACACCGGCCGCCGGGTGTCCTTCAACGAGGCAGCCCTGTTTGAGCAGAGCCGCAAGTCACAGGACAAGGGCCGCCGGTAAGGGGCGGCGCAGCAGGAGGGGACCCTGTCCCCAAGGGAGGTCACAGAGCCTGATGCCCTGTGATTGGACTCACTGCGGGGCGGGTGCTGGCCTTGCTCTCCCTCATGGTGGAGCTAGGGACAGCAGCAAGTGTGGGCTTGGGGGGTTGGGCTGAGCATGGAGGCAGGCTGGCATGGTGACAGGCAGCCATGCCGGGCACAGGTACACCCTGACAGAGGGGGACTTCCACCACCTGAAGAATGCCCGCCTCACTCACCTGCACCTACCACCTCTCAAGATCATCACAATCCATGAGTGCGATCTGGGTGAAGCCAGCACCACCACCCCCCCCAAGGCCAACCTCGCCATATTCCAGGTGAGTATATGGGTGGCAGCCAGCCTGGGGCTCGGTGGACAAGACACCCACCCTGTAGGTGGCCCCTTTCCCACTCTCTGGGCTGGGCCCCTCATCTTAGGACAGGGAGGGGGGCCTGGCTGGGGTGCACAGTGGGCTGTGGGTCCAGTAGTCCCCCTCACCCACCCGTGCTCTTTGACCTGTTACTGCTTCCTCCCCTAGCCCCCGGGGAAGGCCCTCACCGGCCGCTCCGTGGGCCCCAGCTCCACCCTGCCAGGTGACCCCTACAACTCAGCCGTGGGCCCTGCTGACTTCGAGATCAGCCCCTTGGCATCCAGCGACTCCGGGGAAGGCACCTGGGTGAGGGCCCCCGAGCGGCCCCTCCCCTCCCTGCCCCACTCCAGGACAGAGGTCAGCCTGTGGCCTCCCCTGACCCTAACTCCCCTTGCTCCTGCCTGATCCCCCTGCATGGGAGGAAGAGGGGTAGGCAGCACATAGACTACACAGCCATCCCCCACATGCACAGAGCATTCCCACAGCTGGAGAGGGTAGGGTCAGGGCACAGCCCAAGCCAGGGCATGAGTGCTCTTGGACACTCACGTTCAGAAACTCCTCTGTCCCGGGCTGGGAGAACAGAGCTGGGCAGAGCCAGGCTGAACCCCGGAGCTTAGCATAGCTTCCACCCAGCCACCAAGCGCTGTTCACTGCTCCTCTGCGTTCTGGGCGGGGCGTGTCGGCACCGTCTGCCAGGGTGGAGGCCGCCCCCTAGAGTGCAGAGCTGGGGCCCAAGCTGGAGCCAGCATGTGGGGCAGCAAGGGGAGGGTCCTCGTGCCTGAGAGCATTCCTGTTTCCTTCCAGTTGGAGGCAGGTACCAGGAGCACTAAGCCTGTCGGGCCAGGGGCCACGACAGGGCCCCGAGAGGCAGGCCCAGGCTCTGGGGCCGGGCCTGTCCTGCAGTTCTTTACCCGCCTGCGGCGCCATGCCAGCCTGGATGGGGCCAGCCCCTACTTTAAGGTCAAGAAATGGAAGCTGGACCCCAGCCAACGGGCATCCAGTCTGGACACTAGAGGTGAGCTGTGGCCTCGACAGAAACCAGAGCCCAGGGGGTAGAGCTCCAGCTGCTGCCCCAGGCGGCCTTAGAGCAGGAGGTTCTGCACCAGGAAGGAGTCCGTGCTCTTGAGGGGCCCCCGGGCTCCTGCCCCCTGCTGGCCAGCAGCACCCATTTGCCAGTGGGCATCTTGCCCAAGGGCTCAGAGCTGGTTGGGTCACTTACTGTGCCCCAGTAAAGCAGGGGGGTGGGCAGACCGTAGCCACGATTGGTGAACTTTTTCGGTAAGGCACTAGACAGTAATGCTTTTGGATCTGTGGTCAGTCTGGTCTGGCAGCGTGGAAACAGCTGTAGACTGGGTATAAATGAGTGTTGGGCCAATAAAACTTTATGTACAAACAGTAGGTTGCAGGCCCATTTGGTCTCTGGGCCAGAGCATCCCCACCCCCGAGCTAATGACAGCAGCCCTTCAATCCCGCAGACCGCCCGTCATGGAGAGCCCTGGATATAGGGCTTCCTTATCCTCAGCCCAAAGCAGGGGTACTCAGGGTATACTCAGTACACCCCAGGTATACTGGGGGAAGTCAGCCAGGACGGGACAGGCTGAGGGGGTGCCTGCTGCCCTGTGGAGGTGGTGGGTCCAGTGCCGGGACAGGTAAGGAGAGAGAGCATAAGCAGGTGCATGGCCTTGACGGCACAAACCCCCTTGTTGGGGCCTGGCTCCAGCTCATGCAGGGAGCGGAGGGGCCCACTCCACTGCCTTCAGGAGCAGACATGGAGCCCATGATTCCTGAGGGTGGTTAGAGCTGAACGGAGGCGCAGAAGTGCCCAGAACCTGTTTGCTGGCTGACTAGCCTCCCCACCCCTGGGGCTCTCCCACCCAAGCGTCTCCCTGGCGCCCACCAGCCTGTCCCTTCTCCCCCACGTGCCAGCTTCCACACTTTAGTCCAGCTGTGTCTGCTGCCAGGTGTTCAGGGCACATCTTGGCCCCAGCCACACCTTTCTGGCCAGAGCTGCTCTGGGTACTGGCACCACCTCCACACTGCACTCACACCTGCCCTAGCTCTTCTGTTCTCGGGGCCTCGGTTTCCCCCTTGCAGAGCGGGGTGCCCACTCACCTGGACCAGGCTGGTCCTTGCTTGCCTCTAGGGTGGGAGTGGGGCCCCAGGCTGAGTGGAACCCCGGCAGGCTGACGCGCCTTCCTCTGTACAGGCTCCCCCAAGCGGCACCACTTCCAGCGGCAGCGAGCCGCCAGCGAGAGCACAGAGCAGGAGGAGGGGGACGCGCCCCACATGGACTTCATCCGGTACATCGCCAGCGCCGGCGACGCTGTGGCCTTCCCGCCCCCCCACCCCTTTCTGGCCAGCCCCACCAGCCCATCCCCCACTCTCGGCAGGTATTTTTCAGTAGATAGAAGTGCTAGGGGTGGACCTGTGGGCCCCAGCCCTGCCCAGTCCCCGCCCCGTTGTCCTGGGGAGGGCTCTCCGCACCCTGCAGACGGGCGGTCACAGTCCTCCAGCCCTACCGCCCCTCCCAGAGGCTGCCTCACTGGGGCCACCTCTCCAGCATGCATCACAAGAGGGAAACCGGGGGAGACAGGGTAAGGGCAGAGGGGCAGGTGGGGCCCTGGACGATGGCCCCAGGGTCCCCAAGACGGGATGTCTGCTCAGTTAGGGCTGCCAGGGGTATGTGCCTGCTTGGATGTTATCGCTTCCTGGTGGAGACCACGGCCTGATGGGCTCTGCTGGGGCCTGGTGCTCCTTTCCACCTGCTCATATTCCTGAGGGCTGCATGGCCCCTTCTCAGAAACTGACCCCTTCTGCCCGCAGCACCCCACTACCCCCCCAGTGGATGGGGGTGGTGGGGTGGTGAAGTCCAGGCATAGAGGCTGAGTGGGACTGCACCTGGTCCAGTCCCTCCCATGCCAATCCCTTCTACACTAAGACATTAGGAAGAAAGTAGCTTCCCAGCAGAATGTTCACTCTCTCTAGGTGAAGAGCCAGCCACAGACACTGTGAAAAGTGACCTGGTTGAAAAGCAGGTGCTAGGAAGGCTCAGATTTACCCAGAAAACATACCCTGCAACAGGGACTGGCAGCATTTTTTTAAAAAAATTCCTTTTCCGCACTCTGGCCAAACCTAGGGGGTCCCCGCCCATGCCCACCCTTCCGGACCCAGAGTCGGGGGGCTGGGGAGCAAATGCAGGGGCGCGCACAGCCTTCTTGACTGCTGCGGCCTGGCTTGCAGGCTAGAGGCAGCCGAGGAGGTGGGCGCCACGGGAGGAGCGAGCCCCGAGTCTCCCCCAGAGCGCAGTGGCGGTGTGGGGCCTGAGCAGCGGCAGCAGGAATCTGATGGTGAGCGGGACTCGGGGCCAGAGCAGGCCCAGACCATCTACCGGGATATCTGGAGCCTGCGTGCCTCTCTAGAGCTGCATGCCGCAGCCGCCTCGGACCACAGCAGCAGTGGCAACGACCGCGACTCGGTGCGCAGCGGAGACAGCTCGGGCTCAGGCTCCGGGACCACTGTGCCCACCTTCCCACCGCCCTCGCCGCCGCCCACACCTCGCTCCGCGGATAGTGAGGCGGGAGGTCAGCGAAAACTGCTTCAGATGGACAGCGGCTACGCCAGCATCGAGGGCCGCGGCGCGGGCGAGGACGGGCTCCCCAGCGCGTCCGAGAAGCGCTCTTCCTTCACCAGCGCCGGCCGCACGGCCACTGTGGGCAGCAGCTTCGAGGGGGCGCTGGCGCCCACCGAGGCGCCCGCCCGGCCCCGCAGCCCCCGCGCCTGGCCCCGCCGCGCCCCGCGCCGCGACTACAGCATTGACGAGAAGACAGACGCGCTCTTCCACGAGTTCCTGCGCCATGACCCGCACTTCGACAATGCGCTGCCCTGCGCCACCCGCCACCGCGCGCGCGCGCATCCGCACCCCCACACGCGCAAGCAGTGGCAGCAGCGCGGCCGGCAGCACAGCGACCCCGGCGCGCGCGCCGCCACCCCCGCCCCGCCTGCGCTCACATTCGGCCCCGACGCCCGCCCCACACGCGCGCCTCTGCGCCGAGGCGACAGTGTCGACTGCCCGCCCGAGGGCCGCGCGGGCGATGACCCGGCTGCGCCCGCTATCCCTGTCATTGAGGAGGAGCCCGGCGGCGGCAGCGGAAGCTGCCCCGGCTCGGGCCTGTGCGTCGGTTCCCCGGGGACACTGCTGGACAAGCTGGCGGCTGGCATCGACGACAGACTCTTCCCGCCGCGCCTCGCCCAGCCCATCGCTGCGGCTCCTGCGCTGGCCGCCGCCGCCGCCGCGCCGACGTCTCCCGACCGTAGCCCGGCCTAAGCCCTGCGTCCCGCACCCACCTCGTCAGCTTCTCCGGTGCCGCTCGGGATCTCCGCCGCCGGACACGCCTGGGGCGCGACGCTCCGGCGGGCAAACGCCGGGCCCGCGGGGCCGCGCACGCGCTCGTCCTCCAGCCGCCCCCCAGGTGCGCATGCTCATGTCCTCGGGACACCCTCGGGCCGCCTCTGGTGCGCACGCGCACAGTCCCCGCTGGTCACCGAGCGGCATCCGTCTGTGGCTCCTCAAAGTGCAGGGCTGGACTGGAGGGAGCGGGGCAGGTTCTCATCTTCGAGCCCCTGGGGACTACGTTCATCTGCCTTTGGCCCCAGACAGCAGCCTCTGGGTGGGGGCGTCTTGGGCACAGAGCACCAGGAGGCGCACGCCCAGGACCCGCACCTTGGAGGGTCCGCACCTTGGAGGGTCCGCGTGGAGGAGCAGAGTGAGGCGCATGCGCAGGGCGCCCCTAGCGGGGCCCGTGGAGCCTCGAGGGGGTCCAGGCTGCGCGCGCCGGAGTCTGCAGCGGGGCTCCTGCGCCGAGCCCGCGGGGACCCGGACTGCGGGGGCATGGGAGACGGGCGACGGGCGCGCTCGCTCTGGGCTGGCAGGTTGGGTGGAGGCCGCCGCCGCCAAACCCCTGAAGCTGTTTTACCTCACCGCGGCATGTGCTCGCGGCAGTCTGCCCCCCCCCCCGCGCCCCCTCCGAGCAATAAAACCACAGCCCGCCGCCGCCCCCTCCCGCCCACCGTGTCCAAGTCCCCGCGCCCGCCCCAAGCATGTGAGTGGGCCACCTGCCCGCCCCGCAGTTGCACCGTCCAAAGAGCTGCCAGAACTCATTAATGTTTGGAGACACACAAAACCCAAACGGCCAAGGTTTCAAGTTTCCCAAGCTTTATTTATTGCCAAAAGATGGGGCAGCCCTCGCCTGCGGCCGAGTCGCCCCACCCCGCCCCGCCCCTCGGAGCTTCGTGCCGTCTGTGTACCATCCAGTGATGGAGTTTCTTGTGTTTGTTTTCTGGTTGATTATAAACATTTACTGCACACTCTTGCTTAGTCCGGGTTTTCTCTGGGGACCCAGGAGCACAGAGACCTTGGAAAGAGGGTCAGGGTCCTGTGATCAGGTAGCTCCCCGGCTGCTGCACTGTGGACTGGTGGGCCCTGGGGCTGCGCAGAGGGCCCTGCTGACCTTTGGGGAGACCGGTCACCACCGAGAGGACTGCTGTCCAGCATGGCCAAAGGCTGACCCCCACGGAAGCCCCAGGTCCCACCACCCGCCCGCCAGACCTGCAGACCCCAGCCTGCCTCCTGGGCTGTAGGTCCACAAAGGGGGCTTGGACTCAGATCCCCTACCTGCAGGACACGGTGCCAACCCAACAATTCCCAAACACCCTTCACAACCACAGCTCAAATCCACCTGCTTTATTTTTTCTTTAAAAAAAAAAAAAGAAAGAAAAAGGAACCAACCAAACAAAAACAAGGCAGCCGCCTGGCTCCCTTGGGCTCTGGGCATGCATCTTGGTTGACAGGCCTGTTCTTCATCCCGGCTCCTGCTGTGGCTGTGGTTTGTCTGAACACATCACTAGGTGTGGGAGGCGCTAACGTGGAGCAGAGTAAAAAGAAGTCAGGGCTGGGGAGAGAACCAGTAGTCTGAACATAAAGTGCGTGGCAAGGGCTTCCCACAGGGCCCGTGAGCCGGTGTGCTCCCTCCTCCCCTGGCCAGGGGAAGGGGCTCGGCACAGGGCTGCAAAGTCAACAAGAGGGCGTGTCCACTGGCCATGAGGGGAAGGCCAGGCCCCAGGCCCTGCTGTCCCCCAGCCACGGCCCTCCAAGACCCCTGGCTTCCCGAGGGGCAGTCGGCAAGGAGGGTGTGGTGGTGGCCTTCCTGGGCAGCAGCCATGGGCCAGCAGTCGGCGGGAAGACTCAGGACCTGGGCCGTGGCACCTGGCTGGGGCTCCATGAGACGGGCTGCAGACAGGAATAGAAAGGTCACTCCTCAGCCAGCAAATAGGCTCTGCATCCCAGGAGGCAGGCCCCACCCACCCTCTGGTCTGCTGACAGGGTGGGGAAAACTGAGGCCTGCTCATATGGAGCTGTGAGATGTCCAGAGAGGCCAGGGAAGGTTGCACTGCTTCCTGGGGTTACCCTGTAGTTCACTCTGCCCAGTGGAGTTAAGCACCAGCCTCCACGGAGGAAGCCGGGCTCCCAGCTCTCCTGGCTGGTTCTGATGCTGGCAGATCAGCACCACAGGGCCATCGGGGCAGGGGGCAGCACCCCAGGAGAGGGCACCCCGCCTGCATCCTGAGCAGATGATGGGATCTCTAGCGCCCCTGGGGCCTGATTTCCCACCACACACACCTCGGACTGTGGCAGGCAGGGGTGGGAAGAGGAAGCAGAGGGGGGCCGAGCGGCCACCAGGATGACAGCCTGGGCCAAGCTGAAGACATCCCAACCTTCCACCCACCCACACATGTCTCATGGGCTGAGTCCAGCATCACCCAGGGCTGGCAGGACAGGCCACCAGTGTGAGGGGGCCCCCCTCCTGCACGTGGGAACTGCTGCCCAACCCCCACCCGACTGGCCAGTGTCCTGGGGGCAGTGGGCGCAGACTGACAGAACTGGCCCTGGTCAGCAGTGGCTGCAGCTGTGAGTTGGGCTGGGTGCTGCCAGTGCCCGCGGTACGGCCCCCACCCACTCCCACAGGCCCCCACAGCAGCCTACCTGTGGGTGGCCGCTCTCACTGCTGCTTGCAGGCCGACAGCCGGCGGATCTTGCTGCTGGCCGAGCAGGCCTTGCGAGTGGGGTTGGAGGCAGCGCTGGCCCGGCGCTCCACCTTTGATTTGGTGCTCAGCTGGGCTGACTCTGTGCCATTCATGCACACCACTTTGGGTGGGCCCCGGCTCTGCCCGTTCTGACCAGCCTCCTCCTCTGGGACCTGTCCTAGGAGGGAGAGGGCGAGTGTGGGCTGATGGGGGCCCAAGACCAACACCCCTGCCCCCCCCCCACCCCACCCCATTCCCCAGGCCTCTCCACCCAGGCACAGGGTCCTCCACCACCTGCCCCACCTGTCCCGTCTAGGTCCTGCCTGCGGGGCCCTTCATCCGGCTAGAAGGGGCAAGGGCCTCAGAGTCGGCCAGCCAAGGTGGGGGCCCAGCCCATGCTCACCTGCCTGCTCATGTGTGAGCCTGGTTTCTCACGCAGGTGGCTGGGCTGCCCTGCTCACCCTCACCCCAGCACACGGTGAAGGCACAGGGCCCGATCCTGGGCCCGCTCACCTGTGTGGAGGCCAGACCTCACTGGGCCCTGTGGGGCTTGGGACAGGCTGGGCTCAGGCCAGGTGTGCAACACTCATCTTTCCCCTTGAGGCCAGCCTCAGCTCCCCAAACTGGGCACTGGATGAAGAGATCAGAGCCAGGGGCCTGCCATGCCCCTACTCACTACCAGGCAGCACCAGCCCTTGCTGGCATCCGGGGGCCACAGGCCTGGGGCGGCACGGCTGCCTGCACTCCTGTGCTCTGAGGTGCAGTGGGGAGGAGGAGGGCATGCAGGGGTCGGCCAATCTGCTAGGGCCCATGTAGCTCATTCAGTGCACATGGAAAATCGGCCTCCTGCCCATGGCCCACCCTTCTGGGACACTGGTGGGAAGCTGCCCTCAGCTGCCTCTAGTCCACCTCTTCACCAGCACAGAGCCCCCTCTAGCCCAACGGTCCCCAGTATCTGACTCAGCAGCTTCTAGAACTTGCTGTGAGTCACCCCTATGCACACAGGAAGCATCCTAGGTCAGAGCTCCTCACTGCTGACCGGTTCCTGCGGGGGAGAGGTCTTGAGAGGGGTCAGGTGCCCTGCCCTGATGGAGGAGGGGCCTCGCAGGCACCAAGTACTACAGCTCTGCACAGACCACCTGGAGCCCAGCTACTGGAACAGCGACTGTGGCTGGGGACAGGGGGCAGGGTACAGGGTCTGGCCTCCTTATCCTCAAAGGACTGGAGCATCATCCACAACCACCCACCTCCAGCCCAAGGCCCAGCACCCAGCTCTCGGTGGGAGGCAGACCCCCACAGGGGGGACAGTCCCAGGAGACCAAGGCCAAGCAGCTGAGAGCCTCTGAGGGCGACCCCAGCACTGGACTGCAGTGAAGAAGGACTTGGCTGCAGCACACCTCCCTGCTGACCGGATGGAGCAGAGTTCTGCTACTTCCACTGTGGACGGATCCTCTCAGGCCAGGCATCTGCATGAGCCCTCCCCAACCATGAAAGGCAGCTCCTGGCCTCTCACACACGTATTCAGTGGTCTGGCAAGGTTCTGGGGATCTGGCAGAGTCCTCACTCCACCTTGCTGGGATAGCAGACGGCCTGCCAGCGAGGGTCATTCCCAAGGACCCGACACAACAGCCCAGTACCTCTGAGAGGCAAAACACCTCTTTCCTGTTCTACATAGGGGACAGGCCTCTGCAAGGCCACATCACCTCCCGGGACTCTACAGGGAAACAGCTGAGCCAAAGCCACAGCTGCTTGGGGTCCAGCAGGTGACACCTCCAAAATGGGCATCACTGACCCCCAAGCATGCCCCCTGCGTGAATGGGATGCATGAACCCCGCCCCAGCTCTGCCAGGAAAACAGTGCTGGGCCCATAGAGTTACTGCCTAGTGGGGTGTCCCCAGGGGCCCCACCCACCACACAGGCCACCCCCAAACACCAGTTTGCTCTACAACAGAAATCTAACATTTGGCAAATGAGCCAGGGAAAAGGGAGACAAGCATCACCCACACATGCACTGCGGGGCAAATCTTTATGATGGGAACCTGCGAAACTGGCCCCAGAACAGAACAGTGAACACTGGGGGGTGGGGGTGGGGCAGCTGCCCTGGCCACCCTCAGATACCTGGGCAGGGTCAGGGAGGGCCGGTGGGGGTTGCTGAGGCCTGGCCTCTCTGGCACAGGGTGGCACGGGGGGAGGGGCGGGAGCAGCGCTACACTATGGCCTTGAGCTCCTGTGCACCCCCGGCCTCAGCTTCCTCTCCAGAAAGGTCTGAGCACTGACTCTTCTGGGCGCCTCTCTCCTCTCTAAGCCCTGCCTCAGACGTCTCTTCGCCACCTGGGGAAGCAAGGCGACACGTGTCAGGGTGGGCAGCCAGGCACCAGGAGGGCCACTGGACCCTCTCAGGGCCATCAGAGGGGCTTCCCCTATCTCTCACCGCCAGCAGGACGTCACGTGCACTCCCCAGAACACAGGCGGGTGCCCTGGGTGGCCTCTGCCCTCCAGGATCCCCACCTGCTTCCGTGGGAGACGGGAGGGCCGGCCACACCCCCACGGCTGTCTGTGCCCTCAGCAGGCCCTCCGAGGCCAGGTCGGGGACATCAGGGATGTGAGCTCTGCCACGCAGGCAGGTGGACATGGAGGCCAGGCTGTGAAGCTGTGCTCACCGGGCACCGTGAAGTCCTGAGTGTAGATGATGTCATCCTCGATGTCGAACAGGTCCTCGTCCCCGTTGTCATCAGCACAGCCGTGCAGGTCCTCCAGGTAGGGCACCACCGTCATGCCACGCCAGCGGTCTTTGCAGTCCGTGCTCGGCGGGATGGGCACCAGCTCCTCAGCTGGCGGGTGCTTCTTCCGGAACCAGCTGTGGAAGTCAGAAGTCAGGACAGCCCGGAGGCTCGCCCAGTTCCCTACACAGGTCTCGACCTCAGGGCCCACCCCTAAAATCTATATGGGGAGGGGGAGGGCGGGCAGGAGAGTGAGGGCCAGGAAGGCCCCTGGCACCCCAGACCCCCACATCCCACCCCCACCCAATCTCATCATGCACACCCCTGCACCCCCAGAACCTCCCCATTTACTCCCACCACGAGGACCCCGACCCCCCGCAACTGGGCCCCACACAGACACTCACCTGTGTTGTCTGATCTGCTGTATGGAGAACCTCCTGGCTGGCTCGTATTCCAGCATCCCTGACGGAAGACCAGCAGGCTGTGGGGAGTCATCGCTGGGCACACGGCCCAGCCCTGCCCCGTGTCAGCCTGTGCACAGAGGACACCCCCAGGAGGAGGCGGCACTGGCATGGAGGAGTGGAGCCTCAGCTCAGAGTGCTCCAGGCATTCCACCCCCCACAATGTGGTCCCCCATGAGCCCGGCCTCCACCAACAGGGCGGACCTGGGCATGTGGCAAAGACGCAGAGCCCTAACTGTGAGGAGACAAGGCCCTGCAGCCCCAGGGGGCTGCGTGGCAGGAAGGAGCAAAGCCACAGGCAGTGGGCATGGTTGGGCAGACAGCCAAAGGACAGCAAGACACCAAGAGCTGCTGGGAAGGACAGTCCCATCCCAGGGACGCACAGCCTGTCCACATGCTGGAGGATGACGAAGCAGGCGGGCCTGCGCTCTGCCTTGTTCATGCGAGGGCCCAGCCCCAGGGGCAGGTCCCGCCCCAGAGCCCACAGCTTCTGCTTCCGGCTTCCCCACAGGAGGGTGGAGCTCCACAAGTGTCAAGCGGGGGAGGGGTGGGGGTGCGCAGCTCTGAGAGTTCTGCACGGCACCCACTCGGAGGGAACACCCAGTGTTCCCAGGAAACCTGTGGCGATTTGGAGAGCTGGGGGCTCAAAAAGCTGCAGGTCTGAGTGGGGCCAAAAAGGTGGTAAGACCATGGGCCACGGCCTCAGTACTCAGGCTGCAGGCAGGGAGGACGGCCACCAGGCCTCGGGGCCAGGACGGTGTTCTAGGAGACACAGGGAGCCACCCCACCAGTCCTGGCTATGGGAAGAGCCTCCGGACCATGCACCCCCAGCGCAAAGGCCCTGGGCCAGGCTTGGGTGCAGGGGGATGTACAGACCATGAGCCCTGCCTGGCTACCTCGGCCTTAGGGCAAATGCCATCCATGGAGGAGGTGAGGGACAGGGCTGCCCTGCCTGGATCTGGGGACAGGGACCCTGACGCCCTCTGCCATCTAGGTCATCAGCCTGACGGGGGCTGTTTCGAGCACTGAGAAGACTAAGAGTAGTAATGGACTGAGCGAACAAAGCCTCATTTAGAGAACACGCTAGCCAGCCAGCGCCTGTCAGGAGAGCGAGCCCCTTGTAGCCGTCTCTACAGTGAACCCCAGTGGAACGGCCCTCGGGGGGGGGGCCTCTGGGCACACTTGAGGACAGGGCCAGCTGACACCACAACCCTCCCACAGAGAGTGCCTGAGAACTTCCAAGAACTTGAAGGCCAGGTCGGAGCAGTGGGAGGGCTGGGCCACAGCACGCAGCGCGAGTGAGGCAGGGCTGCACCGACCCAGCCATCTTTGAGGGTCCCGGGGAGGGGATGGGGGTGCTGCCAATGCAGGCCTGTGCCTGGGAGTGGAGTCCAGCTGCTGCAGACCAGCAGGCCATCTTGAGCTCTACTTCACTCCCACCAAAACTTAAAAACCAGCCCGACCCTGTTATTAGAAAATAAGCACTTTTGGGGTCACGGGAATCTACTGTTTCCACGGTAAGTTACGTGCAGTCTAGAAAGGGACTGAGTGCAGTCAGTTCTACCCCAGAGCGGAGGCCGAGGCAGCATCTCTGCGAGGACTCCCAGGTACCGGGGGCACGTGGGGGCGATGCTCTGCACCTGCTGTCATCAAAACAGGCTCCAGCCAAACGTCAGGATGTCAGCTGTGGCTGTCCCCCCACCAGTCCACATCTGGTGGGCCCAACCCTGGACAGGCCCGCGGCTGCGGCTGCACGGCGCGTATCGCAGGCTGTGCAGCAGGAAGAGACCCGAGGACTCAGGAGCCCGGAGCCAGGACCCGGCCCGGGCTGGGGGGCTAGGGCGCTGGGGCGCCGAGGCTGGGGCACAACTGCTATTTCCCTCTGGGGGGTGGGGGTCGGAAGAGGGTGGAGCAAAGGCCCAAAGCAGACAGTAGGGCCGTGTACACCGGGCCCAGCCTCAGCCGCTCTCCACTAACCAGGCCCATTCCTGGGCGGGGTGGGGGGTGGGGTTTGGCTGCAGAGAGGAGGCCCAGCTCTCCAGAAGCCCGTGGTTGGTACAACACCCCTAGGACTCCCATCACCCCCTGGCAGCCCATGCCCGACACGTCCAGCCCCAGGTGCCGTCCCGAGGGCCTCACCTCTCAGCAAGTCCGAGAGCGGGGGGCCGCAGTCACCCGGGATCGTGTAGTCTCCCTTCCCGATGTTCTCAAACAACTTGTAGATGTTGTCCCCCTCAAACGGGTACAGGCCTGTCGTGATGTTATAGCTTCGCCCCCGACGGGAAGGAGAGAGGCCCTGTCAGTTGGGGCTTCTCCTGCAGCCCCGGCCTGGAACCAGCCTGGCACAGGAGCCTTAAACCACCCTCACCTGTGGGGCCTCATACCAGGTGACAGGAATGTTCTGGAATAGATGGTGGTGGGGGCTGCACCACTCTGAAAATACCAAAACCCACTGCACTGTATGTCTTAAAAAGGTGCATCTTGTGGTATGTGAATTCTCTCTCAATAAAATAAAATGGGGGCACCGGGATGGCTCAGTCGGTTAAGCGTCCGACAACTGATCTCATCCTCAGGTCTTGATCTCAGGGTCGCTGAGTTCAAGCCCTGTGCCGGGCTCCACAATGCCCAGTGTGGAGCCTACAACCAACCAATCCACCAAATAAAAATAAAGTAAAATGGACCACCCACGCCAGTCAGCAGCTGCCCCACAAGCGGGGCCAGGACGGAAGGTTCTGGACTGCACTGGTCAGTGCTTGGGCTAGGCCCCAACTCGGGAGTGAAGAGGGTCCCACAGAACACTGCAGCCCACTCAGCACGGCTCACGCACGAGTGCTCAGGGCTGTGCCCTGCTGGATGGGAAAGCAGAATCTGGGCGGGGGGCACCTAGCGGCTAGCTGAGCAACACTCCAACCTCCCATTTAATCCAGTGGGAAGACCAGGACGAGCCCTCGGCAACCAAGGCGGAAGGCCAGGGGCGGCCCAAGGAGGACGGCCAGTCTGTGTGCGCACCCCCCTACACCAGGTCTCTGACCCTGAGAACCCCACAAGGTGGGAAGCAGTTCCAACTGCTCCTACCCACAGGGGGCTCTGAACCTTGGCTCCACAGTCTGTCTGACACTCCGGCCACCCAGCACACCCCAGAATGGTGTCTGGGGGACCCATTAAGAGGCGCAGGTTCTAGAAGCCTGGAGCCCAAAGAGGGTGCCTGAGTCCTTGGTGGGCAAAGGAGGGGCCCCTGGGGGAGGGGGGCAGAGCAGGGAGACCAAGGCCCCTGGGCACTTACAGAGTGACCCCAGCTGACCAGATGTCCACCTTAAAGCCAGAGAAGGTGTCCAAGCCATTGGCAATCTCAGGGGGCTGGAATGCTGGGGAGCCCTGGCTCGTCCGGCACGTGTCGTCCTCGGCAAAGGGGTGCAGGGCCTGCAGCAGCAGCAGCAGGTGGCCCTCAGGGAGCAGCCCTGGGGGGACTGCCCCCACCCCCGCGTGCTGAAGGATGGGCACCTACCTCAGCCACACCCAGGTCGGAGATCTTGAGTGTGCCACTAGTGGTGAGCAGCAGGTTGCCCGGCTTGATGTCCTTGTGCACGATGCCCTGGCTGTGCAGGTACTCCAGGCCGTCCACCAGCTGGCAGAAGTACCTGCGGGGGCGGGACCTCTGTAACCTGCCCCACCAAGAGGTTCCATCTTGTCCATCGGGGCCCCCTTGGCACAGCAGCCACCTGGGATCAACCCAGCAGGACCAAAGACGGGAGTCCTCACAACCAGGCAAACAGGAATGACGGGACGGGTGGCCCAGCCAAGCGATTCCTGCCCAAGGCCTATGGACCACTCCAACCTGAGCCTCCTGGGGAAGGCAGAGGAGGGCTCCCCGGCCCCCAGCAGCTCCCTCCACCCAGGCAGCCCTTTGTCACGCTCCCCACGAGCCCAGTGGCCATGCTGGGTCCTCCAATCGGTCTGGCTCGACGTAACCATGTCTCCTCCCTGGTAGTGCCCCCCAGGGCTGGGGACGCTTGACCCCCCCACCCCCCCACCCCCCCAGGAGGGCCAGCTGGCCTGTGACAGCTCAGGAACTTCTCAGGGACCAAGACGTCTCACAGCCTGAGGCAGGGGGCACGCAGGGCAGGGACGTATGCAAAGGGGCTACTCTCCCAGCAGCTGGGCTGAGCATGCTACAGACTGAGCCCCTAAAGCTGAGGCTTAAAACACACTGGAGGGCGCCTGGGTGGCTCCGTTGGTTAAGCGACTGCCTTGGGCTCAGGTCATGATCCTGGAGTCCCGGGATCGAGTCCCACATCGGGCTCCCTGCTCGGCGGGGAGTCTGCTTCTCCCTCTGACCCTCTTCCCTCTCGGGCTCTCTATCTCTCATTCTCTCTCTCTCAAATAAATAAAATCTTTAAAAAAATAAATAAATAAAACACACTGGAGTTTTTTGGGGTGCCTGAGTGGCTCAGTCGTTAAGCGTCTGCCTTCGGCTCAGGTCATGATCCCAGGGTCCTGGGATCGAGCCCCACATCGGGCTCCCTGCTCGGCGGGAAGCCTGCTTCTCCCTCTCCCGCTCCCCCTGCTTGTGTTCCCTCTCTCGCTGTGTCTCTCCGTCAAATAAATAAACAAAATCTTTAAAAAAAAAAACACACACTGGAGTTTTCATCTCACTGGTGATCAGAAAACCTGTTGGAGGGGCACCCGGGTGGTGCAGTCGGTTAACTGTCCGACTCTCGGTTTTGGCTCAAGTCATGATCTCAGGGTGGTGAAATTAAGCCTCACGCTGGGTGCCGCACTCAGCAGGGAGTCTGCTTGAGATTCTCTCTCCTGCCCCCCCCCCAACTTGCTCCCTCTCTCTCCCCCTCTCTGTCCCCCCCACCCCACTCTCACTCTTGGGGAAAAAAAAAAGGAAAAAGAAAAAGAACCTCGTTTGAACATGGGACTGGATCCTTGAAGACCATGGGCCGGTGGGCGACCCTGCAGGAGGGAGGGGTGGCCATGGGGCCCCAGCAGCAGGCACTTACCCATGGGCTTGGCACACAGGGAAGCGCTTCTCCGGCACACTGTCCAGCATCTCCTGCATGCCACACACGCAGTACTCCATCACCATATACGTGTGGTGCTAAGGAAGCCACGGACTGGCAGAGACCCCCGCCCCAGGCAGGGCCTATCCCCAGGGAACAGATGGCAGATGCTCGTGGGGAGGGCCTGGGGGAGAAGACCCCGACTGCATCTGATGGCTGTACGAACAAAGATAGGCAGGAGTGCCCAAAGACAACAAGAAAGACCAGAGGGATTACAGGGCCTGCAGGGCATCTCTGCCCCTCCACTGACCCTCCCAGAGTCAACTCAGAGAGATCTGTGGCCGCCTCCTCTGGGCTCAGTGCTCCGGACCCACAAGAAGCCCTCCCCAGGCATTCAACACCCTGAGGAGCTCCAGCCCCACCCCCAGCCGCAGAGGAGATGAGGAGACAAGGCTTGCAGGACAGGAGGGAGGGGCAGGTGGGATGAGGGGCTCCGAGCCGGAAGAGGATGTGGGCCTCAGAGCCAGGGGACGAAGGCCTGGGGGCGGCCAGGCCACACTGGAAGTGGCTGAGGGTCTCAGGCCAGCAGGGGAGAAGGGTAAAGCCCCCTGTCTCCGGCAGAGGTGGCCACGAGAGCAAGCTGGAGAGGAGCCACGTGCTGAAAAGCCCATCACCCCATGCCCAGCACTGCTGTGGGAAGGCGGCAGCCCCCTGGCTAGACCTAGGGGCCCCATACGTCTGCTCCCTAGACCTGGAGCTGGCCAGAGCCACACCACCTTGAGGAGATGGAGCCCATCCCCAGGGAGTAAAGGGCAAAAGTCGAGGACACTCCCAGGGAAGCATTCTTGCAGAATCACACACTCCCCACCCCATGTCCTACCCCAAACAGAGCAGCCCTGAAGGGCAAGACGGGAGCCTGAATGCCAGAGGCAAGGAGAGCCCTCGCCACGAGGCCCCCCAGACCCAGGGTCACCTAGACCCAGCACTCCCACTCTGGGGCATAGGGTAAAGGGAGGACCCCAGCATCCACAAAAGTAAAGGAAGTCTGAGACACTATGGGGACCTGGCAGGTGACCTGATGGCACTAGCTGGACAAGGCCAACCACTGACCGGGGCTGGTGCTGCCTTAGGAGCTCCTGGGTTGGCTAGTCTACCAGCCAGAGTCACAAAGGGGCAGGTGTAGGGTCAGGAGACAGCACTCTGAGCCCTACCCCCTGCTCCTCCTCCAGTATGGCCCTGACCTGGCGCTCTGGCAGATCAGCTGCCATAAGGATATATTTTCTGCTTCTCTTCATTGTATAACACATCCACCAGCTGGATGACGTTTTTGTGCCGTAATCTCCTCAGAAGTTGGATTTCCCTAAAGACAGAAAACAGAGGCATCAGCCGACCTGCCAGTGAGAATGGCTGGTGCCATATTTGTTCAGAGATCCAGCTTGCTCTGCTTGGTAAGAAGGGAGAGCTCGCCCTCTGGGTGCCGTGCAGAGGACACACCGGGCTCTGAGGCGGGCGGGCACGGGGAGACCCAGGAGAGGCTTCTCTGCTGCCCCTTCCAAGCAAGCAGCTCCATCCAGTGACAGCAACAGGGTCTCCCCCTGAGTCTGGGGGACTTCAACAGGACAATGCAATCAGGATGCTTTTTAAACATTTTAACGGAACAGCTTTTCCTTATAAAAGACCACAGCGATGTGGGCATATGGACAGCAAGTCAAGGGTGGAGTGAGCACCTACTATGTGCAGGAGCTGGGGTTCAGTTACCCAGGAAGGCCAGGCTACCCCAGTCTGCCCAGCATCCCTGCTGTGCCTCTCCGTAGGAACAAAGCCCAGGCACTGCACCACAGCTGGACCCATGTCTCCATGAGGACTCCCTTCTCTCCCTGCAGGAAGGATGGGGAGCCCTTCCCACAAGGGCCCTGGAGACCTCAGCTGCTGCAGCCTGGGCATGGGCAGAAAGCAGCCCCACCAGCCCCACCAGAATGGCTGCCACGGCACAGCCGCCCACCTGGCACCAACCTTGCCCACAGGCCCACACCCAGTGCCGCCTGCTCCGCAGATGGCCATCTGATGCTTCACCTGTCCAGGGTCTGAGCAGCAGAGAGGGCCACGCAGCAGGTGTTGGGGGAGGGTTTGGTCAAGTTACCAGCTGAACCAGCAACTCCATGGCAGGTACGCGCCCGTGACAACCGGAGCACGTCCACACAGAAAGCCGCATGAGCATGTTCACGGCAGCATGATCCACAGAAGCCCCGAGGTGGGAACAGCCCCAGTGTCCATCAGCAGGCGGATGGACAAACACAGCATGTCCCCCCCCCACGGACACGTGACCTCAGCTGCGACCAGGAGCGAGGCGCCCACACGCACGGCCCCGGGGACGGACCCCGAGCCCACGACGCTCAGGGAGGGAGCCAGACACAGAAGGCCACACGGGGTGCGAGTCCACGTGGGTGACACGTCCAGAACAGGCTCATCCGCGGACGGGAAGGGGGCTCGCGGGGGCCGGGGCTGGGGAGGATGGGGGAGGAGACAGCTAATGGAGGCGGGGTTGCTTTTGGGGAGATGGAATGTTCTGAAATAAGATAAAGGGGTTCCCTAGGAATACACTAAATGCCACCAAATTGTATGATTGTGAATAATGTGTCAATAAAGTTTTTTAAGAAGTCCTCACCAGGAAGCCCAAGCATGGGACCTAAGAACAGCTGGGCAGGGGAGGCCCCGTCCTCCTGAGAGACTGAAGTCACATCCGTCCCGCTGTCCAGGCTCTGGAAGAAGGCTGCCTCTTCCAGGAGGCCCTTCCTGACAGCCACCCCCTCCCAGTGCATGAATCCTGGCCCCGACACCACTCACCCTCCTGGGTGCAGGCCCTCTGTAGGGCCGTGAAGCCTGCACCCCCCAGCAGCTATGGCCATACACCTGCCAGGGCCCCAGAAATGGCATCTGTGCACAGCCCCCACCCCAGATTGCAGACCCCAGACCCACAGCCATCAACTTGCAGAACAAAGACAGCCTGCGGCCACTATCCCAGAAACTCACCAACAGAAACCCACCCCACCCCACCAGAGGGTTCCGGGAGCGACAAGAATCCTACTCTGGTTTTCGCTCAGACGGCACCCTGACCAGCTGACCCCTGAGCTCCCGGGATGCTGCACACACTTCACTACACACACTGAGTGGGGGTGACTCACAGACCCTGGGGTCGCCCTGGTTTGTCCCCTCTGACCCCTGGGGGTTTACTCTGGTTTCCAGCATGAGCAGGGGTCAGACCATTATATTTTCCAAATAATTAATGCAGGGTCTGTCCCCCTTGGCCCTGCTGACATTCTGGGCAGGTCACTCTCTGTGGGGGCCTCCTGGGCTCTGTGGTGGGGGGGCAGCAGCATCCCTGGCCCTCACCCCCTCGGTGGCAGGAGTAACCCCAGTCCTGACGACCACAGCCATCTCCAGACATAGCCCACTGTCCTCTGGGGACGGGACAGTGTCGGGTGAGAGTTCTGCGACAAAGGATCAAACAGGTCCCTGATGGGTTGGAGCAGATCCCGGAGCCTCTGGACCAGGGCAAGTCGCCCCTGGAACCCAGGCCCCACCTTCCTCCCTCGCTCCTTCCTCCACCCCTCCCCCACCCAAACCATCCCATTGCCCTGACTCTCCCGCCCTGCGCCCAGTGCCCAGAGTCCACCTATGACCCAGAGACTCTCCACGCACTGGCCCGTTACACCCCATTTCCACCTGACGGATGGTGGCAGCAACACCCATCTCCATGGCCTGGCCCCCAGTCAGCCCCCAGCCAGCGGCCGTGGGCGTCACCACCATGTGCTGCCTGGTGGGAGTACAGAGCAGCTCCTCTCGGAGACCACTGTCCAGCACCTGCTGTCCACCAGTCAGGCCAACACCCACTGAGCCACCTGGTCAGCAGCCAGGCCGGGGAGGCAGCTGCGTGGGCACCTGTCACAGGGCGGATTCAGCAAAGGCGCAGCAGTGAGAAAGCCCCAGAGGAGAAGGCCATCCACACAGGCCTTGAGCTAGACTAGCAAGCCCTGCAGGGTGAGCCTCAGAGACAGAACCCAACTCCTCTGGCTCTAGCTTCCTGGGACGGCACACAGGACTGGGAACCGTCCACCCAGCGTTGGAATGAGGCTCCCCAACACGCTGGGACAGCTCAGGTCAGCTGACGGCAGCCTGGGGAGCCAGCAACTTCCTTGAGCTGTCCACACCAACCTCCCGACCTCAGAGCACTTTTCTTCATCGAAAGAGATCACTTGAGGTGCAACACAACTAAAACCATGTGTTGATGAGGCGCCCAGCCAGCTCAGTCGGTAGAGCACGGGGCTCTTGATCTCAGGGTGGTGAGTTCAGGCCCCCACTGGGCGTGGAGCCTACTTAAAAAACTAAATAAAATAAAATAAAAATTACAAAAGTAAAAACAAAACACGCATGTTGGGACAAGGAGGCCTTTCCTCTATCCAGCTGAATGGCAGCCACCTGTGGGGGGGGCAGGTGCCAAGGAAGCAGGACTGGAGAGTTTACAGCTGAGCTCCATGAGCCTCTGGTGACCCGTGCCTGCGACCACACTTCTAAACTCCCAACAGCCAGCCAACAAAACTGCACAGCAGCTCTGGGAGCAGGGACCCCCACTGCAAGTCAACGGCCCCTGGAAAACGCACCCTAGGTCCTTACTGGTAAGAGGGCGAGCCTACGGCTCTGCATTCTCTTCTCCTGTCTCAAGACAACCCAAGCCGTGTCTCGCCCTTTGCCCACTGCCATCAGGATGAAACCACCACCAAATAAACGTTCATCCTCTGTGAGAAGTTCATGTCATGAGCTCCAAACCAAGGCAGAGGGCAGCACCCCTTCCTCTGCAACGGAACAGCTCAAGACACCTATTCCATTGCCCGAAAAGTATGTTCTTCAAAAAAAAAAAAAAGCCCCTGGGCGCCTGGGTGGCTCAGATGGTTAAGCGTCTGCCTTCGGCTCAGGTCACGATCCCAGGGTCCTGGGATCCAGTCCCGCATCAGGCTCCTTGCTCAGCAGGGAGTCTGCTTCTCCCTCTCCCTCTGCCTCTCCCCCTGCTTGTGCTCTCTCTGTCTCTCTCGCAAATGAATAAAATCTTAAAAACAAACAAACAAACAACAAAAAAAAAGGCCCCACTCTAACAGAACCAGGCTGACCCACCATGGATGTGTTGGACTGTTCATCTGTTTGCTCGGGTAACTGTGATCAAAGCATCGTGTGTGGGGCGCCTGGGTGGCTCAGTTGGTTGAACCGCTGCCTTCAGCTCAGGCCATGATCCCAGGGTCCTGGGATCGAGCCCCACATCGGGCTCCCTGCTCCGCGGGAAGCCTGCTTCTCCCTCTGCCTGCCGCTCCCCCTGCTCGTGCTCTCTCCCTCTCTCTGTGTGTCAAATAAATAAATAAAATCTTTAAAAAAAAAAAAAAAAGCATCGTGTGTAAGCGCGTAAGCCACCTTCTCCACACCAGGAAAGAATGGACACAACGCCAGACTCTAACAGAAGGGGCGATGGGAGCCACGCACACAGAACTTCACTAGAGAAAACGCGGGAGGAGGGTGCACCCGGCCATTAGCCCAGTGACCTCCGGGGTGTACTGAAGGGTTTCTATCACCTCTGTATTTTCAACGTCTCCTACAAGTTATATCTCGGGTCCAAAAAAAAAAAAAAAAAAAAACAATGTTTAAAGAAAAAGGAAAAGCGAGGAGCTCAGCCAGGATGCAGGAAGTGAAGGCAGAGGAAATGGTGCCTTCCGGCCCGCCTCCCCCACAGGGGCTCCATGCTGTGGTCACTAACACCACCCCCCACCACCCTCCACCCCCGCTGCCTGGGACCTGCCCAGGGTTGCTGCCTAACCAAAGTGGACTGCTTATTAGTTCACTTGTTGATTAACCAGAAGAAAAACTGAATGAGGGTCATAAAGCCATTCAAGCTTACAGAGAAATACAAAGCTACCTCCACGGTCAGGTCAGCCCAAAACAAAACACACAGGGACAGGCCCGTGGCCACTGCCCTGAGAGGCATCAGCTCCATGCATGCCAGAGTGAGACTGAGCCGCCCACGGAACTCTCCACAGGTCAGTCCACTCCAGACAAAGAAGGGTGCGCTGGGTGCCCAAGGGGCGGGCCAGGGGCAATGGCAGTCCTGAAGGAGGGACACTGAGCAAGACCCCCCTCACCTCAGCCCCTCTGCTGATGCTTCTAAACATATGACCAGAGGCCCTCAGAGGTCCAGGAAGGAGACTAAAACAAGAGAAATTGCTAAAAGTGCAACTCAACACAGATACTTGTCCACATGTCCCCAGCAGCATGACTCATAAAAGTGGATACAACCCAAAGACCCATCACTGGGTAAACAGACAAACAGAACGTGTCCACCCACACACGGAAGCGTCCTGTGGCCGCGCGGCCCCGGGGACGGACCCCGAGCCCACGACGCTCAGGGAGGGAACCAGACACAGAAGGCCACAGGGGGTGTGAGTCCACGTGGGTGACACGTCCGGAACGGGCTCATCCGCGGACGGGAAGGGGGCTTGTGGGGGCCGGGGGGGACGGGGAGTGACAGCTGATGGGGTGGTGTTTCTTTTTGGGGAGCTGAAATGTTCTGCAGTTAGGCAGTGTTGAGTTTCACAACTCGGTTAATGCCACTGAATTACACCTTAACGCTATGAAGTCCAGTACGTGAGCTATGTATCCATAAAGCTGTTGCAAGAATAAACTACAGTTCGGCCACATGGTGGATCCAGGGTAAAGGGCAGCTTCTGCAGCGTTCCATACACTCCCAGGACTGGCATACGTCCCGACGGCCCCCAGAGCCCAGTGTGGCCCCAAGCTCCACACTTCAGTCCCACCCCAACCCGAGAGGGAAGGACCAGACATGAGGGAGGCCACCGGGACCTTCACTGAGGGTGAGCTGCCTCACCCTCCTGCTGCCACCTCTGGAGGCCAGCCAGCCGGGGCACACAGTGGAACCCTTCCCAATATGAGGGTGGCGGAGGGAGAGACGCCGTAGAGGCCACGTGGGACAAGAGCAAGAGTCAACAGAGTCCAGAGCTCTGATTCGGGACACACTCAAATCCCAAACACTCATTACCCAGATCCAACGATGCGCCAATCACCAAGGCGGTCCCGGCCTCACTGAGGCCCCAGCCTGGAAACCGGCACCTGCTCACAGAGCTGCCGCCCGTCTGCAGAGGACCCAGTGCTCCTGGTGGTCACTCAGTAGAAGCTGGCTGGACGAGACTGGCTGGGGAGGCTGGGGGGACCGGCAGTCTGGACGTAGCTTATCAAATGTACACATGCTCCCTCTGACCCAAAGCTCCACTTGTGGGACATGCCCTTCAAATACCCTTGCACTTATCATGGGACCGTGACACAAAGTAATTCACCACCACAGCAAACAGAGCCACGAGCACAAGGTAGGTTAGACCCAGCCATGGAGCCCTGCCACCCCCAACAAGACCACCGTGGACCCCCGACCTGGAAACAGGACGTTAGAAAAGCAGTGACTCAGGCAGAAGGACAGGGGTCCAAGAAGCACGGCCTGAGGGGCAACAGTGACGGTAACAGCGATCATAGGGCGGTGAGCAATGAGTGATCGATGGAAGAAAACCCCACAGGGAACAACGTCTTGTGATGCATTAGACTCTGAAAAGAGAGTTGCGCCATCGAACGTTGTGGAGGGCACATCTGCTGCCGGCGGCGGTCTTCCCACCGCTCCCGCACGGGTGCTCGGTGTGCTCGGCCCGTGTGGCGGAGCCGATCCCCTAGCTGCCCTCTGAACTGAGCCGCCCGGGGAGTACCTGCAGGTCTGCTCTCCCCGCACAAAACCCTGCGGCAGGACCCTCTCTGCACCCCCCCGAGGGAGACTCCACACACACCGTCTTCCCAACTTTTACGGGGTCAGTCCGTGTGATTCTACTGCCTGTCAGAAAGACAAGTACACTGATTTTCTAAAAATGATGGGGGATAAAAATACAATAAAAATGATAGGGACATATAAAAAGTGTTTGCACAGATTAAAAAAAAACCAAAAAAGACTTGAAGGGTATGTGGCAAGATGGGTCAGTTCTGAGATCATGAATGATTCTTTACTTGAAGCTCTCTGAAACTTCCTTGCTCTACAACAAGAACCTGCTAATTTAAAGAATAGTGAAGGAGAGAGGGGGCAAGCGCAGGCCCATGGCAGTTCCTGGGAGGAAACCACATGAAGGGGGGACGTCCTTAGCCCCCCTCCCAACCTTGGTCACAGACATCATTCTTTAAGAAAAAAGCTTCTGATCCAAGTCGGGACTCCTGACGCCTGTCTGGAAGGTTCCGGACACTTCACTTGGAGAAAAGCTAGTGGAGTTTATTAAGCCTCTCCAAGACAAAGGAGCCTTTCTTTCCTGCAGCCGGCTGGCAAGGCTGGCCGGGGAGCCTGGACCTCCGCTTGCAAGGACACCCCTTTCCTTCCTATGAGAGCCGGGCCCTGAGCTGATGAAACGGGCACAGAGCCCTGCAGCTGTGACACCTAATGCTAACTGCCAGCTGGGGACACCCAACACTCGGTCTCCCAGGCCTCAATTTCCCCTCAGGTTCTTCTGATGGACGCTGCAGGACCGAGCTCCTTGCAGCCCCAACACTGCACACCCAGATGTCTCCACAAGCTCTTGGGGCCCGGGCTGACCATTCAGGAAAGCAGAGACTGGGACGCCAGTGCTCCTCAACCCTCCGGTCAGTTTCTGGTCATCTGCGCCTCCCATGGGGCACAAGGGAACTCCTGGAGGTGGCAAACCTTCCTCTAACTTGACCTCTCGCTCCCAGTGAGTGGCAGCCATAAGGAGGGGCGCTCCCTCCTGAACCCAGCAAGAGGGATGGAGACAGGGCTCCCACCACCCTCGGGGGTCGGGGAGACTCCTGCAGGCAGACTCCAACACCTCTGTGATGCGTCTCGTGAATGAGCACCTCCGCAACATGTACCCCGTGCCTCGGCAGAGACAGGCACCTGCCCACCTCAACAGCACCCGACCATCGCAGCAGGGGTCTGCAGACTTCTGGGACCTGCTCCACTCTGCTCCCACCAGTTGCCCCAGGAGAGCCAGCAGAGTGGGCTTGAGTGCCTTTAGCCACACATCAATTGGTGCTGGAACCCAGTGCGGGCCCTTGAATGGACTTGGGGACTCTGGGAACCTCGGGGTGCTGCTCCCAAGAGGCTGGGGCCTGGGGTACCAGAGCAGCACGGAGCAACATGGCCAGCCAGAACACCTCCATGGACCCACGCTGCCTCCAATGAGCAAGGTTCAACCACGCAGGAAGAAACCAGTACCCTGCCGTCGGACGTATCAGGGGATGAGACCTGAGAGGAACCAGCAGGACAAAGATGGACCCCGGAGATCGGGAGAGGGCTCTGTGTCCAGGGGCAGGATCCAGGAACCCAGGAAGAAGGAGCTCACTGCCCCCTCAACCTCCAGCGGTGGCAGACCAGCAGCCTGAGGCCACATAACCCCCAGCTGCTTCTTGCTTAATGAGAAAACAAGACTTAGAAGCCAGCAGTTGAGTGGGGGTTTCTGACTGGGATGAGGGGTCGTGTGGACCTCAGGGGGGTGCTGGCTTGCCCCCTGCCTCAGTCTCCCCCAGCACACAGGGGCCCCTGCCCAGTCCCACCTCACAGGTAAGAGACGGCCCCTAGAGCACCCAGCCATCCCTGCTCCATGTCCACAGGCTGGGGCACGAAGACTAAAGAGGCCTCAAAGTACCTCCCACCTTGCCTTTGGACCACACTGGAAGCCAACTGCTATGACTAGCTGGGGCACCAACACCAGAGCCAGTCCAGTTTCGGTTCTCCGTTCCATCCACAATTTCACCACACCCAGACCCAAGCCAGCCCAGAGCAAGTGAACAGAGCAAGTGAAAACAGCTCAGCTTATGTGTGAGTGCAGGCTACGCCAGGAAGGGGGGAGGTGAAAGCCGATAGGGGAGCAGCACTTTCCAGGATGGGCCTGGAGGGAGGGTCAATGTTGGGACGTGCTGGGACGTCCAAGGTCGTCAGTCAGTTCTGCCGCCTGGCCTGCCTGGCCTGCCTGGCCCATTAGATAAACCCCTTCTTGGAAACTGGAGGCTGGGAGGAGCATGGGCCCAGGTAGGGCGGGGTCCCAGTGAGTGGCAGCCATAAGGAGGGGCGCCCCCTCCTGAACCCAGCAAGAGGGATGGAGACAGGGCTCCCACCATCCTTAGGGGTTGGGGAGGCTCCTGCAGGCGGACTCCAACACCTCTGTGATGCCCAGGCGCTGACACATGCCCGAAGAAGTTTGGGTAAAAAGTTAGCCAGGACACAAGCTGATTCCTCTCCCAGGGAGTCACCTGGGCCTGCAGTCATGGATGTGTCTAGTGTCACAGCCCAAGTGAGCAAGAAAGGGCTAAGTTACCCCCTGCTGACCGATAAGCCAGCGCAAACAATTATTTTTGGCAACCGCAGGGCTCCCCTCCAACAGGGTAAACAAATCGCATTTCGCTGGGCCCTAGTAACAGCTGCACTCTGCACAGAAAACCTGCTGGTGGCGGCCAGGGCCGTTCAGGAACACAAATTCTCAGGGCCAAATAAACATTGGCTGGTTCTACTGGGCACCTAAATTCTTCGGACAGCTGGGAGGGTGAAAGGGGATGGGCGCAACCCCCCCCCCAAAAAAAGGCTTTGACACCATCATCTGAAGAAAGGGGACACCCAGCTGCAACAAGCCAGCATGACTTCGTCAGAGCCCTTCAGCAGTTTCCAACAACACTTTCCCTGGCAAACACCACAGGGGAACTGGCTGGTCACCTCCAAATTTTAAGGAAAGGGAGAAGGAGGGAGGGCAGGCAGGCAGGCAGGAATGAAGGCGACCAACCTTGCTGGCTGGCCGCACACTGACCCAGAAAGCCCACACTTACTTCTTGACGTTCGCCTCCCCGTTGGGGATCCTTCGCAACTTCTTCTTTTTGAGGATTTTGACAGCTCTCCTGCACAGCGTCTCTGAGTCCAGCACCTCCTTCACCTTGCCGTAGGACCCCTCCCCCAGCAGGTCTCCCATCAAGTACTTGCCGATGAGCTTGGCCCGCTTGCGCCGGGGCTGATAGATGACTTCCGTGGAGTCAATGCGGTGGATGAACGTGTCCATCCCCACGGACATCAGCTCCCCCTCTGTAAACATGCCCAGCTGCTGCGGGTCGGCCACATCCATCCTGGACCCAACGCCTCCGACTCTCGCCGGCCGTCCCTTATCTATTGCCCCTGGTACGCACGGTTCTTCCTTTTGTCCCCCTAAAATTCCCTTCTCAAAAAAAAAAAAAACCCAAAACCAAAAGTCAACAAAAACGCAAAAAAAAAAAAAAAAAAAAAAAAAAGGGGAAAAAAAAAAAAAAAGAGGAAACCCTTCTTCGAAAAGAAACGATTGTACTAGTCGTGAGTTCAAGAGGCGCGCCTGGCCCAGAACCCTGGCACCCGAGGGTGCGGAGGGTCGCAAGTCTGGGTGCCTGCCCGCCTCGCAGCTTCGGGTCGGGCCGGCGCATCCACGGGGGCCCTCGGTAGGCCGGTGGGGCTTCCAAGTGCTAGGTCATCCTCCAGGGACTTTAGACCCTCGGACAAACGCCGGTGCGGCCAAACCGAGTCTTCTCCAGGATGGGCATTACCAGCGGGCCGTGGCGCGCGCCCAAAGCGGGCCCCGCGGCGGCCGGCCGGCCCCAGGGCCCCGGGCTGCGCAGCCGAGCTTCGCTGGGGGCCGGGCGCGCTGCTGGGGGCGGCTCCCGGCGGGGCCCGCCGTCCTGGGGGCCCGAGGCAGCGGCAGCGGCAGGTGCCTATCCGGACCGCGCGGGGGGCACCGACGTCCGCCCCCGCCAGCCCCGGGCGCGTGTCGGGGGGCCGGGGGGCTGCCCGGAGCCCTCCCGCCGCGGGGAGCAACTTCCGTCGGAGCCGGCCGCCGCCGGGGCTCCCCCACACCGGCCTGGGACCCCGGAGCGGCCGCCCCCCGCCCCAAACGGCAGCCCGCGCTCGCTCTCGGCCGCGAACGCCGTCGGCCGCGGGCCGCGGGGCGCGGGGACCCGCAGGGCTCCGGGCGGCTGAGACGGCGCAGGCCGAAGGCCCGGGCAGGGGGTTCCCGAGGCCGCCGGGGCTCGGACGGCGCGTGCCCCCGCCGCAGCCGCCGCACGTGTGGAGCAGGCGGTGCGGCGCGGGGGCCCAGCCCATGCAAGGCGGCGCGGAGCCGGCCGGCGCCCGCCGCCGCTGCCTCCCGCGCCCCGCCTCAGTGGCGGACACCCCGAGCCGCCTCCCCCTTCCGCGCCCGACACGCCGCCGCCATCTTGTTTACCTCCCGCCCCCGCCCTGCGCCGCGGCGCCGCCGCACGCCCGCCGCGGGGCCCGCCCCTCCCGCCGCCGACGTGCCCGCCCGTTGGCTGAGCCAGTAGGCCCCGCCCCGCGACCCGACCCGCCGCCGCTGCCGATTGGGTCGTTTGGACCCAGGCAGGCGCCCAAGCGGGGATTGGTTCGCTCTCGGCCCCGCCCCGGGGGTGGCTACAGCTGGGCTCATTGGCCCGCGGAGGCGCCCTTCACGGGGAGAGGGGGTTTGGCGGGAAGCGGGCGCGGGGACATGAACCCGCGGTGTTGACCTCGGAGGGGCTCGGGGCTGGGGTCGGAGTCGTGAGCGACAACGGCCACCTGAAAACGGCTGTGGGGCGGGCAGAGCCCTCGTGGGCCGGGGCACTCGGCTCGGGGCCCCCCAGGCCAGGGCGCCTGCGAGTCTGCACCGCGGGGTCGTGAGCTCGACCCCCGCGCTGGGCGTGGAGATGACCTCAAAGACAAAGGAATCACCAGGGAGCCCAGAGCGGCCAATGCCAGGCCATGGGTCAGAAGGGGTGACAAAACCGCGCTCCCCTGCGCCAGTCCCGCACGCTGCCTCTCTGCTCCTGAGCACTCCATCGTGATCCTGGCCGAACGAACTGCTAGTCTTGCGTGAGGCTCCTGATTCGCCACAGCCAAAAAGAGGGAACTTTGAGAGCTGACGGCATCGGATGTGGGCTCCAGGCTGGGGGGTTCTGAGCCCAACACCTGCGAACTCCCTCAAAGTACGTGCGGCATCGCCTATGCCCGGGTGCGTGTTGTTGGCGACCATGAGCTTCATCACAGTCTCGAACGACCCGAGGGGCGGTTGGTGCAAGCTTTGAGGGGGAGGGAGGCACAAGCCACATCAGCTAGACTGCAACCCCCACACTCCTCTGTTGAGAAGGAGATCCTAAAGGTCAGAACAGAAGCCAAGGGAGTAGAAGAGGAAAAGAACAGGGAAAATCAGCGAAACCCAAAGATCGTTCTTTGAAGAGATTTTGAAAAAAATGACAAAAGTCTAAGCAGATTGACCAAGAAAGAAAGATGACCGACGTCAGGAACGAAAGAACAGCCGTCACTACAGACCCCAGAGCGATTAAAAAGGATTACATACGAGAAACGACTCTATGCCCATAAGTGGAACACCACCTTGAAAGACACCAAAATGAAAGCTCGCTTAAGAGGAAATAGATAATCAGCATAGTCAGAGAAAGACCTGTAGTGAAAAAGATGTTTCAAGAAAGACGATTAAGACCTCGACCTGTCAGTGGTGAATTCCCACCGAACATTTCAGGAAGAGGTATCATTGGTTCTAGACGATCTCTCCCGGAAAACAGAACAGGAGGGCCTGCTGCCTGACTCAAATCCTTCTGGTGCTTTCCGTTGCTGTGGTTGCTGGCTTACACCCCAAATGCTTGAAATCGGGGTGTCTGTAGGCTTCACATTCCTTCAAAGCCCACCCCCATCTCGTGATGGACAGGCCCCATGGGAGGGACTCAGGACATGTTAGGTGACCATTGTAGAAAGAGTCCTTGAAGGCACCGTGTCAGCTCAGAAGCCCTCTGGGTCACTCAATGGAACACAGCCCCGATCAGTTTGACTTCCTTTTCAAAACCTGTCACCATGAGAAATCGTCTCATGTACTGCTTTACCCATTTTTCCTCCATCTCTGGCACTAGACTGGGAGCTCTCTGGGAACAGGGGTGGATCTGCCTTGGTCACTGCTGTGTCCTCGGCAGTGAGAGCTGTGTCATCCATGACAGTACCACTGGCCACGTGTGTCCGTTAAGCTCTTATAATGTGGTTGTCCAAACTGAGATGTTCTGTGTGACTACACACAATTTCCAAGGCTTTGCATGAAAAGGTATAAACGTATACAATACCTTGTTAATAATTTACATTGATTGCACAATGAAATGACAATCTTGGATATGTTAGATGAAAAGAAGCATGTTATGAAAATGAACCACTTCACACCCACGGGCATGGCTGTGACGAAAACAATGGACAATAATAAGTGTTGACAAGTATGTGGAGAAACTGGAAATCTGGTACTTTGGAAAAAAGCCAAAAAGTTAAATACAGTGTTTCCATGTGGGCCGGCTGGCTACTCCTATCCTGGGCCTGGGCCCACATGTCCACAAAGAAACTCGTATACTGTGCGTTCATGGCAGCACAATTCACGACAGACAGAAGTGGGGGGTAAAAAAAAAGAATGTCCACCCACAGGTGAATGGATACACACGTCGTGTCCACCACGCACGAGTATGTCCCTCGGCCTCAAACAGGGGCGAGGCGCCCACACCGCGCGGCCCCGGGGACGGACCCCGAGCCCACGACACTCAGGGAGGGAACCAGACACAGAAGGCCACACGGGGTGTGAGTCCACGTAGGTGACACGTCCGGAACAGGCTCATCCGCGGACGGGAAGGGGGCTCATGGAGGCCGGGGAGAGGGTGTGGACTGACTGCTGATGGAGACGTGGTTGCTTTTGGGGTGATGGAATGTTCTATCACGGATGAACTGACTGAGGTTTGCAGAGAGGAAACCTCCTATCCAGGTCCATGGTGGAGCCGGGACTCCAGGTTATGGGCGATGGGGAGGCAGGTTATAGCGGGAGATCCCAGGTTATACACGGAAGCTCTAGGTTGTAGGTGGGGGCCCAGGTTATAGAGGGTCCCAGGTTACAGCTCCTATGTTACAAATAAAGGGCCCCAGGTCACGGGTGGCGGACCTCCAGTTATAGGTGGGAGCCCCAGATTATAGGCTCAAGCCCTAACTTACCGGTGGGGGACCCCTGTTACAGGTAGCAGCCTCAGATTATAAATGGGAGTACTCCGATTTACAGACAGCAGTCCCAGCTTACATATGAGGGCTCCAGGTTATAAATGGTAGCCCCAAATGATACCAGGGGGATCCAGGGAGCAGGCAGGGGCCCACCAGCCCCTCCAGGGCTTGGGCCCCGCCTCGGCCCTCACCTCTTCCCCACACGCTATGCCTCACGCCTCTCTTTCTCCCGACCGCCCCATGACCCCCCCAGACACTTGTGCCCAGCTGACCCCCTTGTCCCCCTCCCCCCGCTGACCTTCCCACGTCTCCCAGTTCTGATGCCAAGACTCCCCTTGCCCCCTCCCCCAAACCAAGGACAGAGGAAGCCAGTGGTCCTTTTGACCAGTCTCCTGGCTGGTTGCTCCATCCCCGATTTCCTTCTGCTCAATGGTTCTCTTCCACATGGGGTTCCTGACCCCAGGCCCACGCCTCTGCATGGACCCAGCTCAGCCCCATGCCCACAGAGCAGGGGCCCCGGGAGGCGGAAGGCGTCCTTGCAAAGTGAGGTTAGCCCCCACTGGGGATACAGCCATGGTTCCAGGTGAGGATGTGGCTGGGAGGGGCAGAGGGTGTGTGTGCGTGTGTGTGTGTGTGCGTGTGCGTGTGTGTGTGTGTGTGTGCAGCCATGGTTCCAGGTGAGGATGTGGC